ACCAACACAAAGAAATGAGGTAAATAGTTAAGGTCTTACCATATGTCGATGGCTTTAGTCTGCATTTTGTCACCCAGTATTATCTCTGGGGCGCGGTACCTATCAAACAACAGCAAAATGGACACTTATCAGGACATCAAAGCGTACGCAGGCTTTAGATAGGAAGAAGAGGTCAAGGATAACCATGATTTCAAAGAATTAAGTAAAGTCGAGAAACAATCACCTCTTTGCAAATATAAGTGGTTCGATTGTATTATTTTAGGAGATAAACGAAGACTAGGCTAGACTATTGTGTTTAACAAAGACTGACTCTGCTGGGACTGGCGAGACGGCGAGCTCCGCAAAGGTGTTAGGAAGGCGCAATCGCTGAAACGAAAACTTGGTTCGACTGACTTTTCGGATTCACACTCGAACCCAGCATGACAGACCCACAAAGATGGGTACAATGGACGCAAAAAGGGTTCTTGTACCTTTAAGATTCACTTGCTATCCGACTACATATCGAGTTAAATTAGTGGCTCTTTGAACCCATCGTAGATGGCCATATCTGCCGCAATAATTGTCCGATCGCGCACACCTGAGTCGTCGAAAATTCGTCATCAGTGTTGGTTGGTGGCGAACGCTAAGAAATCCCCAGAAACCGACGTGTTTTAACCTTCGCAAACGCCGGAGATAAGGGACTTCACAGTGAACCTTACATTATAAAAACTCTTCTCTACGAGCCGGCGCAAGGCCGAAACATGGATTTGTGTAGTGAGAAGAGGACCATAACTAACCGGAGAAAACCCAACCACACAAGCAATCGAAAAACGTAGATGCTATTAACTGACTATACTATGGAAGCTGAGGCTAACAGCCGTTAACTATGCAAATACTTTATTTTACTTTAACTGAATAAGATTCCGTCAAAATAAATCTAATTGGCCAGAAATAAAAGACTACAACGAACACGAAGGCAATTAAGTTTGGAAGCAAGGTCAGGCGTACGCGAGTAATACAACAAAGAGTATCACGTACCATAGTGTTACAACCTTTGGTGTCATTGGGTGCTGAGAGTTCGACGGCCTAGCAAGTCCGAAGTCGGCTAAAACATGCTACCTCAGCATTTTAAGGTACTCAACTTACCGATTTTCACAAGACCTTTGTCTGTCATTAACAGATTAGAGACCTTCAGATCTCTATGGAGGATATAGTTTTCATGCAGGTAACGCA